ATAAGATCGACCGAACTTGCAGATAAAATGAACGAAAAGTAACGAAAAAAAAGAGCAACAACAAAACTGAGGAAATGAATGAAGAGCGAAAAAAATATAAATAATAGAAAACACCAGAAACGATCGTGTGCAATTTACGTTTGGATGCTTTGGTTTGGAATATAAGCTGTTTCGGTGTTCACGTGTGAACACATTAGGCCAGCTGTTCTGTTTCTTGAAAGCGATTTTTGCTTATTCACCTTCTTCTCATTGTGATTTAAATACGCACGTCAATTCGAATCGGGTGATATCAGAATGAAATCCCAACCGTCTTCCACTTCACAGATATCTAATCCCACTGACTGCTTCTCTCTTTCGCTTGCTAATTAACGAACGATTAAAACAGTGGAATGGAATAAACAAATGCAATCGCCTAGTGATTTTTTTTTCTCGTTCGTTTGGTTCGTTCACTGTTGAATAACGCAATTCCAAATTAATTCAACGGATGAGTAAATTGTGATTTCGAACCGTCTCTAAGCAAATTAATCCGTTGGCTTAAAAAAATTGCCGAATTAAGTATCGCATCATCGCACATGTGTATAGATAGGGTGTCTATAGATAGGTCGTACTTTCACAACAAAAAAGCAACAAACTATTTTAACTGAATAAAAAAACATTATCTCCTTATGCCGTTTTTTTCTCTTCTTGTTGTGCTTTTGCGGCTGTCGCTGCTTCTTCTTCTTCTTTTTTGTGCTTTGTTTTCATTTTTTTTTCGTTTGAAATTATACGCCTTTCAGGTTTCAATGTATGGCCCGTTCATGTTTGCATATATGTATATGAGTGTGGATTGTTGTGGATTGCGGATACAGATATACAGATACCGCTGTCATAATATGAACCTGTGGTCTTTGCGGGTTTCTTTCATTCGAACAAGTCAGATTAAAGTTAAAATGCCACCTAATTCAACATTTAAATTTATGCGCTCAGAGCTCAAATTTGTCTGTTATGTCTCGCTGCGCAGTAATAAATTTTTAATTATTCCATTTACAATTCAAATCTAACCAGGAATTTATCTCTTGTCCTTTTTTTACGATTCGTTTATCATACTTTTTTTTCTCGGATTTTTGGATTTTTGCCGGTGGTTAATGTCATCCGTCGTCGTCTAGTGAATATTTGGTGCTGGAGTCGAACCGAATTGAGTCGAGATATGGTCGGTCTTGGACTCGAATCGAGTCAATTCCGTATGATGCTCATAGCCTTTTGCATGATGTGGAATTTCAAGTGACCATCGAAATAACCATTAGCTGAAAATTGCTGTGTTTATGTCACATGCGGTGCATAAACATTGCGAATGAACATGCGATAATTTGTCGTGTGTTTTATCGGTTTTGCTGCAACTCTAATCCGGCTTGTTTGTCAGATTTGTCTGTTTGTCCGGTATGAAATTTTCCCATTCAGATTCATGTGGCAAAGTTTATTGTTGAATGAATTTTGCCCTTTGTGCTTTTGTATAAATCTGCAGAAGGGCGATAAATCATCTATTTGCTTCTGTTTGAATTGCTTTTTTGCATTTGCTGAAATGAAATTGTCATTTCCTATCATAAATTTATTCCACATCGCTTTAAGCGTATTGTCATTTCTTGACCCGATAAAGATTTACTGAAACGGTTTCGCAAGTGAACGAACACGACAAACCGAATTGAATGCTACGGAGGGGTTGATGTTTTGCAAAGCATTTGAATATCAGAGATTATTGGGGATGATATGATGGCTTTGACGATGAATTCCTTTTGCGCGCCACACCGCCAAGAATCCGCTCTGGCACAATTTCGTTCCATTGTCAGCAAATTCGACTTGGGTGCACCACCTCATTTCCATATCATTCTGTATTTGAATGTGAACGCGCGTGTGTGTGTGTGTGTGTTGCGCACGAATCAACGATGAAATACAACATGTTTACAACGATTTATTTTATTTTTGGGTTTAATGATACGACAACGACAAGCGACTGTGTGACTACGAATGCCAATCCAAATGCGACTGCGAGAGAGCAAGAGAGAAAGAGTCAAAGGCATTCCTCGCTCCCTTTCTCATACACACACAAACTCTTTTTTCTGTTTCTTTTCCTTTCATTTCCGTTTCAATTGTTATAATTCAATATAAATCGCTCCATTCCAACCATTTTATTTCCGTATATAATCCTGAGAAAGTCTTATTTTCTGTAACATTTCTGTTCATATTCCTTTTGTAAGTATTTAGTACTTTGTGTGTGCGATTTGAACAATTGAAAATTTAGCACACGAAACGCAGGACTGGTAAAAACGCAACGGATAATGGCAGCAGCAAGAGCATTTATTTAACCATATAACTCATTCAGCGGGAAACGCACAATGTAACACATTCGACAGATGTTTTCGGAGTAAATGCCTATTGCTATGTTGTGCTGTGCTATGCCGTGTCGTGCTGCACCAATGGCAACAAAAGAGCAACAGAACAAAATGGAATAAATACAAACAGAGCAAACATGTGAAAAATGTGTGCTCGAACTTGGAAGGAACAAACTGCGTTCGAAAAGAAACACACATTTTCGCCTCAATAGTTGAGCCACCAAAAAGGGAAACGTACATTTCGAATAGTTAGTTGTGGCTCTGTTTTGCCATTTGCTTAGCTGATTCTATCTTGAACGGAGATCTTTTTTTTTTCCAAATATTAAAACGTATTGCTAGCGATTAATATGAGTCCTTTTGCTTTCATTGAGTCATATCCGAATGGCGAGTATTTTCTTTTTCTGTTCGATTTTCACAACAAGAAGAAAAGAAATGCTGACAACAAAGTTTACCCAACTACTTAGCCAAATCGATCACCCTGCTCAATTTAATTACATTTGAATTTGTTAGGCGAAGGAACGTGGATGGAAGATCCCGAACGCAAAATGGTTTGGCCAAGAGAGAAACGAAAAATGAAACGAAATGATAAACATCGAATGTAAGATAAAGCGATCTGAAAAAGAAATATTGCGCTCACGTATGCAATTAGCTAATAGGTTAAATATCGTCATCAGCAGTCGAGCAGACAAACATCAAGCCATCAGAAGTGTGTACGCGCGGAACGCAGACAACCGGAATCGCTGCATATGCTCACATTATATGGCACTGCCCAATTCTCATCGTCGTCGCACTATTATTATTATAAATGTTTCGTTCTTTTTTTTTCGGCACATTCACGATTATTACATATTAATTTTACAATTTTTGCTTTCATCTGTTCGGTTTGTGGCTTCCCTCGGTTCTTCGTTTTTTCGAGTGCATTCTGTGACAGTTTCGATTGTGATGTTTGTGACATTGTTATTGTTAATATCGTTAACTACCTCTTACATATGTAATTTGGTTGCAGTTTGCTGCGGCTCAATGTATTACTGTGGTGTGGCCTAAAATAGGCGATGTCAATCGAACGTCAAAAGAGCAACTGACCGGCAAAATGACACGTAATTCAATCACCTTTTTCAAAACACTCGAAAATGTGCGCCTGTCGATTTTGAAGTGAGTGGTATCGGTTGGCGTTTGTTTTAAAAGAAAATTGACAGTTCATAATTTTTCGATTTATTCAAAAACTATTTGGTGTTCACCTTCTTATACAATGTTCTTTTATGGATGGAAAAGGTGCACGAGCAATCGGATCGAATTAAAAATGAATGTGCGAATGGGCCCAAGCAACATCAAACCAACAAAAAAAAAAACGAGGGAAACAATAGAAATAAAAACATTAAGAACATTAAGAGAGAGAGAGAGAGAGAGAGAGAGAGAGGCAAGGTATTGCTAGTTAATGAAATTCTCACAACTTGCACTGTTATTATGTATTTTGTACTTTTTACCGCTTATTGCCTTTAACCTTTTCGGGGGTTATTTTCTATTTTGTTGTGAGTTCGATGCGCATTGCTTGACCAAACGTCAACGATCCTTCGTTTAATTCTAGTTGCTAATGAATTGAATTTGATTGAAAGCAATTTTCGGTTGTTTTCACCTTTAATTCGTGTGGCTCAAACCACACGACGGCTTACACGTTTGATTGGATGCTTTTTGCGGTTTTGTGTGTACAGCTCGGTGAATAGACTATTCAATCGCAAAATGTGTAAGCCTATAATTATTATGTATTTGGTTGTAAATTAAGCATGTGCATTTTTAAGCAGGAAATTAATCTTGAGCCGAAACGAATTTTTTTTTTCTTCGACAAAGATTTGCGCCTGGTTGTGTCGATTTGATTTTTCAAATGATGTTTCAAGAACGTTGGGAATGCGAAAAAAAAACGTTTATCACGTTTACAATATGCGATTATTACATCGTATTTTCTTGATCGTAACCACCATTATTCCTTTTGATGTTTTAGGCGCTCTTGTGTTTGATTTATTACAAAATTTCATCGTTATTCTTGTTTGTTGATGCCCGTTTTCCTTCTTCTTCTCCTCCTCCACTCCTCTACAATGCTCAAATCGTTCGGTTCTCATGCTGGATGGTGAATTATATTTTATATATGTGTGTATAGTATGTCCGTTACATTGTTGTTTAGTTCTCATTCCATTGGCATTATTGAAGTGTGCGTCAAATACCCCTTTTAACTGCTGTTTGTCAGTTTCGCATTCAGACAAAATGTCTAGAATCGTCATTTGCGGAGCATTTTCATTTTAAAAACACCAATTTTAAGGTTCCTCTCGCATCATTTTCTTTGCATTTACTTCGCGAATATTTTTATTGCGTTCGGTTTTTTTCAACATTGTAAATTTTATAGACAGCTTTATTTACCGGCTAACCGGGTGTGGAAAAATATTTTTATGGACCGCTTACGAGAATCATTCTGCACATCAGCCATGAAGAACAATGATTGTTATTGTTGTTGTTGTTCTTTAAGGCAATCACAATTTGGCGGTGTTTGGAGTTTGATTGATACATATTGCCATGAAATATCAAAGCCAACCAACAATCACACACACCGAAATGTGAAAAGATAGTGTGAATAGTTCGACTTACCCATAGATTGCATCTTTATCACGTTTATCAGCTATTGTGCCCATTGGATTTGCAACTGGCGACACATGACTAGGCGTACCACCGTGTCCAGTGTGATATCCGTGCATTCCAACCGATGGGGCCGATGCATGGCTCATATGAGGTGAGTGGTGTGATGGTAATCCTTGTAGAGCTGGTGGTCTATGGCCAGCATGTGGATCGTACATAGCTGCTGCTGCTGCTCCTGAATTCATGTAGCCGTGCAGGCCATCGTCATACTGCAATGGAAAAAATAAAGAAGAAAAACATTTTAATCAACATTGGCTTTGCACTAAGTATAATTCTCGTGATTACATAATGGCTAGTGCATTCTTCAAGTCACTTGTCAATATTTGCAAGTGTAATTAAGTTTCGATTGAGGCGGTGAATGAAAAAAAGAGGCGAAAACAAACAAGTACTCATCGAAAAACACCTATGAAATCAATTATGCATTCGCACAATTATATCGGTGAATACTAACTGCCAGAGAGACACTCATGTTTCAAAATCTAATTAAGTCATAAGCGCAATGAATTGTGGCGATAATCTCAAGTGGAATGCGCGTTTGCCCATCGAGGAATATGTATTCCACTTCCATATATTATTACTTTTAAAATACGATACGTTACTTTATGACGGCTCGATCCAGTGATGTTTGCTCGTGCATGTGCAAGTGCGTTTGCAAAGAAAAAAAGAAAAGTGAGAGAAAAAACACACAGAGAGAAACCACAACGGCAACGAATGCGCCAAGTTGTATGCGAAAGCATGCACTTCAATGCCGCTTGGACGTCCGCAAACGATGAAAATTATATAGAGAGAGATAGACAGAGAGGTTCAATGAGAAATTGCTTAGCATTCTTGCTTTTTATTTTCTTTGAGTCTTCAAGTGACTTTCAAAGCGTGAACAAAAGAAAGCCACTCTTCAAAAAACTTCAAACGCGCACGGGAACCTAATCTATATTGTGTACGCATATTCAAACGTAAACGGTTTAAAGAAAATTTCATAAAAAAAAATGTACAAGTGGACTGTTTTGGCCCCATCTATTTACCACGCTAAACCGTGTTCACTGTGCACAGTATTATAAATAAATTAGCAATTGTAATTTCATTTTATTTTTCATTTAATCTCAACGAATAAGACAGCGAGAGGGAGAGAGATAGAGAGAAATGAAATATCCAAATTTCGGAATGCACATAGCGCGCAGAGAACAATATAAAGCCATCAGTGTAGATACCAACAAAGAGACGCGTCCCAAATTTTTTTTGATGTTATCTGCATGAACATACTAAATGTATTAATTCATTTTTTGTCCATTTACTAACTTCCATCAACTAAATAATCCATCATCTGCTTTGGTTCTCGGAATTCTCTTGTTGATTCTTTTCGTTTTTTTTTTTTGTTATCGTTAGTGCCTTTTGAAAATAGTTCATGCCAAAAATTCAACGAGCGTTAAGCGCAGACGAGCAAGAGCTCAACTTTTATTTTATTGATATGACGGGAAGAACATGAGCAAATCACAGAATTTCAGAAGAACCATTAACATTTATTAATTTGCACACGGTCGTTTTTTTCGATGTTGAATTGTTAAATGACATAATGAACGAGAATTTTATATGGAAAACGATCGTTTGTACGGGCTAATGTTGTGTGTGTGTGTGTGTGGTGTGATGGTAAACGAAATTATTTAAAAAATGTAAATTCTTTGCACAATAGATTTTATTCGAAGTTAGCTGTGTGGTTTTCTTTTCTTGGTTCAGCTCTTTTCATCCATTTCAATTCATATTTTGTGTTGTTGTTGTTTTGCATTTGGGTTATTGTTGAGCTGTTCAGCTTGCGAATGAAAGATGGGCAAATTTTTGGCTTTCAAAATTTAACCGTGGGTGATTTCCTGTTTCGGATTCAAATAGAATTTCAAGAAAATTCCCATTCGCATCTCTAGTTTCGTTTGTATTGCTCATTTTCCTTCTTGCGCTGATATTTTCGGTTCAAACGAAAGAGAAAAACAGAACGTAAGAGATAAAACAAAACAAAAACACGGCAGCAACAATGGAAGGCAAAAAAAAAACAATTAAAAGGTTTTGCGTTAATGGTTCGTTGACGAAGATCATGAAAAAGAGCTGATTTCGATTTATTGGCGCGTAAAATGAGAAACGTAACAAATGAACTAATAACGAAAAAAAAAAACAGGGAAGGCAGAAAAGAAAAAACCTGGGCATTCAACTAGCAAACACGATATAAAACCGTGCCACAATAATTCAATGGCGAAAACAATTCAATTAGCCATTTTTTTCAGCTCATTCTTTCTTCGTCCGACCGAATGCATGTGCCATGGTATCGCTGTGCTGTGTCGATTACAATTTATGGCAAAAGAGAAATACCCGTATGTCTGTGTGGTGGATAAAACTGAATACGGTTAATAATGGTGGAGTTCAACGGAAAGGGTTTCAATTTGCACGTATAAATGCCACCTTTATGGGTCAATTTCCGTGCTATTGACATTGCTGACCAGTCTCTTCTTGGTTCTGATAATATGCATGCGTAATACAATGTCAGTAAAAATATGTTCAAGCAAAGAGCATTTTTTTTTGCAAAACTCAGTTTCAGTTCGGCCGCTCCCAAAAACGCAAAAAGAGGGAAGTGAATGTATTATTTTTTTTCATTTCAACAGCTATTGCTTCTTCGGCGCACTCTCAGCACCCGTGTTGCTCTCCATTCGTTGCAAATTTTATTCGTTGCATCGAACGGAAACAAGTAATTAGACATTTTCAATGCGTGTGTTCTGTTTGTTTTCGACATTGTCGGTCTCGATGGTACGCAAAATATCGTTTTCATACGTAATTATTTCCCCTTTTTTTGTCTGCACTTCAAGACATTTCAGACATTTCGTGCAATGAAATATTCACGCACTTCTTTTCGAATGCTTGCGTTCATGATGGAAAAACAATGGCCACTGCCCACGAATATTTCGTATAATCACATTAGATTCAACCGAGATCCAGAATTTATCTATTGTTTTGGCATTCACTCTTTCTCAGCAAAAATAAAAATCGGCCGGTTTGTTTATTCAATTGTACTGAATTAATATATATGTGGCTCGTTTTAATTGCGTTTAAGCCGCAGCCGAATTGAAATGCGAGGTTTATCGTAATTATTTTCCAAGGAAATTGTTCCCACCATTCTTCGGTTTTCGGCTGTGTTGATTGCTGTAAATAAAGTATCGAATTTTATGAAAACCATGAAAACAGATTGCCAACCATTTCAACCACTCTCTTCATCCTCTTTCTCTCATCCCAAATGCGATATCATCGGAATTGATATTTTGAGCTATGATTACACACAGCAACCGAACGAGGCATAGTATTGGCGTGTTTGGCTTTGGCTGAAGAGTTCGCGGCTTTCATGAAGCAGTCAGTACATCTGTGAGATTGCGTGTATCGACAGTCTCGCCGGTAAATGTTTGTAAATAAGATGATTATTTTCTACTTCTGCCGTTATTACAGCTCGGTTGGCTGTTGCCACTACCGTTTTTATTCTCGTTGCACCATTCGAGTGCAATGTGCGCAAATATGTATGTTTTGAGGACTGCAAAGGTGCGGTATTTTCTGTTCTTTTTCTCTTTCTCTTTCTGTCTCCTCTCATTCTTCGAGCAGAAAAGATGCAAAACAATAATTATGTGTCGATGGCATCTTGCAATTGAAAACCCACAACCGAACATATGCGATTGACACAAACAGCGGGCCGGATTGCGAAATACTCGAAAATAAATTTTGCAAAAATTGTGCGATCTTCGTGCACAAAAATGTCATTTCAGAAATTTTATCGATAAAATTTTTAGTGTTCTAATTTTGGGCATCACATCATAATTTGGTGTCCGACATTTCGAGCCGATGATTGCATTTTTTGCCTTCATGCCTGACACATGACGTTATAGAGTTGTTCTCTCTGGCTTGAACCAACACATGGAAAAACGAAATGAAATAGATGTGCAATGTGCATACTGTATAGTGCATTGAATCGAAACCACGTTGGAATGTTATCTTCTCTGGCTCTGTGTATTGCAAACAAACGACCGAAAATGTTCAGGAACCTGGACATGAATAACCCGGAACCATCAAATCAAGACTACAAATCTCATTCTTCAGTTGGATGAATTATCGACGCACAATGATATTTAGCCGCGCCGTAACTGAATGATTCGCAAGATGACTTTGCGCGATACTATAAAAGGATTGTGAAAAAGCGGGAGATGGAAAGTGATATTTGTGTATCAGTTTGTGTTGTTTCGTGGCCAAATGGAAGGAAGAAGAATTTAAAGTAAAATGTTGTGCTCAGCAAACGATCAACATTATTATTCATTTTTCTTTGAAAAGAAAAAAATGTTTTTCTCACTCTCTCTCTCTCTCTCTCTCTCTTATTCGCTTCGTTGTATCACATTTTTCATGTGCAATGCCTCTTCGTTCACAAAATGAACAACAACAAAACAGAGAAGTAAATGATAATATCTGTTTTGTAAATAAAAAACGAAACCATGTTTTTTCTTTTCTTTGGCAAGCGTAGTTCTTTTCATTTCAAATCTCTTGAATTTTGTCGATTTTTTTTGTCAGCTTTGTCCATTTTTTTGTCGGTTGGCTTCGGATTTAATGCACATGTGTGTGCCCGTTTTTATCATTCATTCCCATTTTTCGTGTGTGTCATTTGCTTATTTTCAATATCCCGTAAGTCAAAGAGATACTAAATATTTTTTCGACATCCTCCGAATTTAAGAAAGTCGATGAAGAAAAAAAAACAACAAAGATTGAACGAGAAAAAAAGCATAAAACATTATATATATACGCTGGGTAAGCATTGCTCACTCTCACACATATACACACCGAAATCGAAACACCGACTGTGTCTCACATTTGTTCTAAAATACTTTTATTTTTAACTAATTTTTTTCGGTTACTTTTGGTGAAAAGATAAATTCAATCTAGATGGGAATGGGATTAACAATAACAAGACGACGAAACTACGATTTCAACTTGGAGGATCCAAAAGGCGAAGCATATGAACGAAGAGAGAAAAAAAAACTGAAGAACATCATCGCATACGAGCATCGAAAAACCGAATGAGCGCAACAAAACGAAGAAAAAAGAGCTTGAGAAATCAGAAACTAATAACGTAAGTCCGAATGGTTCGGGATATCGGTGTGAGTGCGAGACTGGCTGAATCAAAGTCAAAAACGTAAAGCAGAAACGA